TAAAGATTATTTATCCTTTTTTATTGAGTTGCGTTAATATGTAAGGTGCAACAATTAAATCAATGACCAGTTTGCGTATGCCTCCTCTGATTTTTCATGTTAAATCTTTTTAATTTGTTTTTGACTTGTATAGGCTTTTTATCTGTTATTTCATTTATAAGATTTTTTGGTAAGCTATTTAAATCACAGGAAGTTTACACATCCAAACTGTTTTACCATAATTATTGTTATATTTAGGTATATCATACGTAGGTAGATGTGGTAGTGTGCGTAATGAATTCGGTCTAATTTTAACCTTTAACGACTTTATTTTTGCACAATTTTCGGTTAGATTGCTAATTTAACTTTATCAAAGACTTTCATTACGTTACAGCACTGAAATAGTTGGTCATAATTATCTTTAAATTTATATCTAATTCTAGGAGGTACAATGGTCTTAAGCAATCTTATTTGAAGGCTATAAATATTCTGTAGGAACGTTTTGTACGTACGACCATAGCTCGAAATACAATAATTAATTATAGAGTCAGCCAGTGCCAAATATAAGATTCTCAATGTATTATATGGTAGTTTTTGTTTGAGTATACATAACTTGGAAAATACCGCCCTAAGCTTCTTAGATCTTTGTATAAATAAATTATAGTAATTATTGGTTTTTTGACTTCTGTTCGCTCCGTGCATTAGTCGTATGTCATTTTGTTGAATGTTATAAGAACTTGATACTTGTTGCTCGTCAAGTCTCTTTCTTGGGTAAGAATAGTGGGCTGCGTTTTCATTGGTGGAAAATTATATATTTTTCTATTTTAATAGTGCGCCAGGCGGAGAAAATTTGACACAGATCCGACATTGACAAGCGTCCGATGGTGACTGACGGAGCAACGGGCGCGGCGTGTCGTATACATAACTGTGAATTTAACAACTATAGGGGCTTCAGTTGAAAACCAAACTTTTGTAGGTTCTTTTTAGCCCTTTACAGGTCCCATGGTCAACCGTGACCATGGAACCTGTAAAGGGCCCGAAACGTCGGTTTGTTTGAAAAAACAAATATACGCAATTTAAATCCGGAAAAATAGTTTCATTTCCTATGTGTAACAATCGCGAAAACCTAAGAACTCGATATTTAAAAAGTCTTATCTCCATATAAAAAATTATGTGCAAAGTTAGATATAATTAGTTTTAGACCTTTATTTTAGCATGTTTTCGGAATTTTATATGATTGGGTAAAGTATATCCTTTCGTGTAACATATTAGCACATTCTGTACACAATATCATTAGGTGTATCGTATATTTTTTTGAAAGATCATTACTTAATGGTAAATACTGGTAAGGTACATTACAAGCTTAAATACTAGAAAGTAAAACTAGGATTATATTGTATAATAATAAATAATAATATATTTTTTAATTTTAGTAATACAAAGAACTTTACATTAACAGTGGATGGTAGCTCCTATTAAGCTTATCAAGCCTGTGTTAGGAGGCACCGTTCTTCCATAGCTATAAATGCACATTTAACATTTTTGAATTAGGCTCAACTCACACTGGTGCAGAGTCGAAGCGTCGCGTCGCGTCCTGAGACGCGCCAAGACACTCGCATTAGTGCGCCCGGATCCCAATGTGGCCGACTACACTGGGATCCGTCTGACGCCTCACTGCGCCCAAGTAACGCGCGCTTGTCTCCATATTTGCATAACACAAACGTGTACCTTAATAATGGGATATTCATATTCATTTAAACATTGCATTACATGGGTAGGTAGTAGTAGTAGGTATACAATTTGTTGTGATCTGCCATGTAACCCTGCAGGGCACCGCAATATTTACATTATTTACATTATTTACATAATACTACATAATATCATTACATAATATCCACTTTCAATTTAATAATTTACATATCTTTACAAATAAAATTCTTACAAATACAGTCAAATAAGGTCAAGTGGAATAATTAATAAAATTGAAATATGTCAATGGTAAGATTAATTGTCAATAAAAAAGAGAAAAATAAATTACAATAATTGAATAGATTCCAAAATTTAAACAACATTCATTATAATAACAATGACAATTAAATAAAATCTTAAATATAGGATAAACTTCCAAAAAACGCAATCAAAACTGTAAAATACTAAATTAAATTTATTTATTTTATTTTATTTTAATTTTTCAAATTTAATTTTGTATTATTTAAATCATGATTAACAACTCAATCTCTACTCTCAAAAAACTCTTGTAGTGCGTAGAAGGATTTTTGTATTAAGTATTTCCTTAAACTTTTCGTGAACTTATCAATGTTAATCTCATTCCTGATAATCGTTGGGACTTTGTTATATATTTTTAAACACATTATAAATGGGCCGGAGCTATGCATTTGCAGTTTTGAAAGTGGAACAGGTATTTTGTGTCTAGGTCACAAAGGTCGCTTATCGGTCATATAATAGAGATGAATATGCTATAGGCTAAAAACATGACGCGTCGCGACGCTTCGACTATGCGCCAGTGCGAGTTGAGCCTTATACTTAATTTAGTGTTTAATTTTTACATTTCCAAACAACGTCAAAACAAACAATTTTTTAACAATTTTCAACATTCTTAACTTATAATTTTAAATTTAATTTAAATATTAAAATGTATGTGTGTGTTAGTGCGTGTGCATGTGTATATGTGTGTAGTGTTTTTAAAGCAAGTGTTCTAATGGATCTTCGGTTTCTTCATACGATTTCGACTGTAGCCATTTTAATTTAAGCCAATTAAATATAACTTTCTTGCATTCTATATAATATTCTCTATAATTTTTGGCGTATATTTCTAATTCCTTATGGGCCGATCGTTTGTTGAATTGTCTGTTTGCAAATGTTGTATTTACTTTATATGAATAAAATTGGGTCCCCGCGGCAAGATGTCCAAGATGCTGGCAGCGTTCCCCCTTTGTATGGCTGTGCTAACGCGTTGGGCAAGGTAGCTGTCGGCCCTTGGAAAATTTTTGTTGGGGCAAGCCTGGTTCCAGGCGTTTCGACCATTTGAGCTAGTAAAACAGGTTTTCCAACTTCTCCTCCGATGACGTCTTAAGTTATCGTTGAGATCATGGTAATAAACACAGTGAAAGCAGGTTATAAAATTTTTGAGGTCCGTTTTTGTTTAAAAAAAGTTAAAATTACAATTATTAATGCAAAGATTTACGAACACTTAGAAAAAATTCCTTTGATCCGGCCGGATTCGAACCGATGTCTCCTACCAAAACGTGACAGACGCGTGCCAACTAAGCCACGGAACGAACCAGCGGACTTCACGAATTTTCTACGTGCTCTTTGTCGCGTCTTTGTATGGGTTTTAACGACTTTTAAGCCGTCTATGAGAAATCTATGAAAGTATTTCATAACTCTTTACAACTACCAGGTCTGGTTAGAGATGTCGCTATTACGTGTAATAAAATTTTTATTGAATTGATATTCAATTATTTCTTTGTGAAATTACTCCAACAGTTTGTTATAATTATTAATACAAAGATCGAACTTAGAAAATATTCCTTCGAATATTACTTCAAAGTTATGATTACTCAAATTTAAAATGGCTGGTACTTATTTCTTCAAACAAATTTTATTGTTCGTTTCAAAAGATGCCGACGATATGTTGTAAAAAATAACACAAATAAAAATACACATTTCGTAAGCGTCCGACATTGTTCGAATAAGAAAAGAGTAATTGTGAAAATACCTTAAGAGTAAACATGCTTTGTGTTACGTACATTCTTGTAGTAGTTCATGTAACCGACTTTTCAGTTGAACCTCGATTTTTGAAGTGAAAAAACTGCGTCAGGCAGTTAAATCCTGTGCAACTACTTTAAATAATTGAACTAAAAGCGTACAGCCTTCATCATCATAACTACTACATTTGCATCGACGCTGATTTTGCTTAACAATAAATAAGATATTAAAAAACCAATTAGTTTCTTTGACAATTTATTTGAAAATTAAATGTAATTTGCAAAAATGTTTAATACAATTTTATATATTGTTTTGATATGTTTGTGTATGCAAAAAGCTGCATTGTTAAGGAACAAAATTGAATGCGGATATAAGGTAAGTGATAATCAAATTTTGATGACTTACGTGGTCGTGTGGCTTACTGTGGTATCGCCATCTCTGAGGGTTCGAGTCCCGGTCGTGTTAATGTAGAAAAACTATTGTATATTGTCATCGAGTATATAACCAGAAATAGAGACGAAATAAGGGTCCATCCATCCCTGGCAAATCATCAGGTAAATGGGCCTTAGATCACTTTTAAATATCAACTCTGCGCTGAAATCACAAATTCGGAAGCTGAAATAGTACAGGGCCAACAACTGACCTGTGTGTACTTCTTCGTATATTCCAAAAATATTCTGTATTTATTGTAATAAAGATAATATCTCTAACAATGGGGGGTTGTTCTGTTCGCTTGTGTGGGAAAAAGCAGCAAAACATCTAATTATAAAACAAATTGTTAATTTTTCAACTTTCATCCATTATAGCAAAGCTCAAGTTAAACTGGTCACTTTGAAGTCAAACAATTGACAACACCCGTCAATTGTTTCGAATTATAATCGGAGCGCAGTTGTCACCGTAATAATTTGGCATAATAGTTTTCAAACAAATTAAATGACATTTCGTCTCTATTTCTGGTTATATGCTCGATGTATCTCGACCCTAAGTGTTTATGATACCGTCGTTGTTTATGATTTCCATAACACAAGAGCTTTAGTTACTTATCTTGGGATCAGAGCAATGTGTGTGATGCTTTTGCAGCCATTGATCGAGACGCTCGCGATGCGACATAAATGTGACGTCACGGTGCTCGCCATTTAAATTTAATTAAATTTTAAAATGGCGGTTTTGTCACTTGAATTTGACAACTAAATTTGGATATAATATCGCGATAAAGCTATCGCGGCGGCATGCTATAGAGGCTGGTCTCAAACTAGAAAATTCTTTACAGAAAAAACTTTTCCCAATTACAGCAATGCCCGATAACTAAAGACGGTGCCCTTAACGTGCATCTGATAGCGCATTCGCACATGGACGCAGGGTGGGTGAAGACCTTTGACGAATACTATTATGGAAGTAAGTATCTGTTTAATTGCGAAAAAAAACTGTAGCGCAGAAATAAAAACTAACTCTCCATGCAAATCTAGACCGACTGTCCGGATAACCATGCACTAGAAACAATGACCTACCAAAATGTCAAGAGGACTGCAAATCTATACTGCAGATTGTAACTCTGAAAAAAGGTCAATTTCCGTCATATAACTAGATGGCGTGAATCGATAAGCCCTGGAAGTAGTTTATATTTATTTATTTATAAGTGCTTTACATATTATGTTGTCGTTACAAAAATATACTTAGATAGATAGATAGATAGATAGATAGATAGATAGATATTTATTCACTCTCACATAAGGAAGATTGTACATTATAATTATATGTTAAACAAGACTTAATAATGTCTAAAGTTAGCTTAAGCGAGAGTCTGGAGTTCGTACTAGGTAACTAGACCTGTGTTACAAATCTCCAGTCTCCCACCCCGTTACAATTTATTTATTTAGTTTTCAAAAAGGTAAGTATATAATCTAAAAGGAAAGATATGAAGATGTTTCGTGAGTGAAATTTGTGTGTGTGTTTGTGTGTGTGTGTGTGTCTGTGTGTGTGTGTGAGTGTGTGTGTATGTAAGCGTGTGTGTATGTAAGCGTGTGTGCGAGTTCTGAATAATATAATATTTAATATAATTACATTTATTTAGTGACTTTTATTAAATTTTCACTAGTGTCATAGTCCAATGTTAAAAGCCATTTCATCAATGTAACTTTGCAATCAAACTTATACATTAACAAACACATGCACCTTGACAGGATCGCAATCGCAATATGGAAAGGGAGCGGCGCAGATGATTTATCTTAGAGATACTCGTCCACGTCGTAATAACTTTTAGAAATTGATCATTTTTACAATACAGTTGTGAATTTGTTTACGTTTGATTCTGATATTAAATATTCTGGGAGTTTATTATAGATTTTAAGTTATTTTTGTTTAGTAGAATGTGATGTCGGTGGGTTTTCAGAATTTTGATAAATATGCATGTCAATGCATGGCATTGTGTGTTACAAACTAATTCAGAATATTAATATGGGCAGGTGGCGCTAATTCTAAACAAAATAAAATAATAGTCGGCACTATCCTTAAAAATCTGTGCAATAAGCGCCATCTTTATTTTTTATAATATCAAGTGACGAGACGAGTTGCCGGAAAAAAGGAATCTTGGAAATGTGCTTCCTACAATGATCAATGGAATCCCATTAAAGAGAGTATCACATATTTAGGACACTACATTGCCGACAACCTCAAGGACTATATGGACATGCAATGCAAGCGCAGGGCACTGTCGGTGAGGGCGAAAAGGCTGACTCGCAGGTTTGCACTCTTTTAAAACCTATTGCACACCACTGTACGCGAGTGCCCTATGGGCCAGCTGTACCCAAAGCTCGCTCAGAGATCTACGTACGCAATATAATAACGCTTTCAGTGCACTGCTGCGGCTGCCAAGGTTCTGCAATGCCTCTGCCATGTTTGCTGAAGTTCGCATCGACAGCTTCATGTCACTCTTACGGAAGAAGTTGGCATCGCTATTGAACAAAATACGTGGCAGCAGCAACGTCCCCCTGAAGACTATCGCGGATAGTAGTGAGTGCCCCGTGATGCGGCATTTAATAACCACCACAAAATCCGCAGTATAATTTAGCAACTTTGGCAACCCCAAAGATCATATTGGTCTTTTACTCACTCACTCAGTCTTTTTGACGTTATAAATTAGTCCATGCGAGGCAGCGTATTCCTCACATACTCGAATCAATATTCGTCGATAGCGCTAGCATCACCCCACAACCCTGTCCATAAAGCAGCCCACATGAGTGTTGCTGAGTTCAACGATCAGTGCATTCATGTATAAATTGAACAACTTGGAAGATGTCAATCCCCCTGCCGTACTTCGCATTCCGCAACGTATTAAGTAAAGAGAGCATTACCCCATTTCACGACATTGGTTTAATTGTGGTGCCAATATTCAAGCTAGCCTCTTGCTTAACTCCAACGGCATGCCCGTCGCCCTCAACTTAGCCCATAGGATGTCATATGAAACTTGATACTTTTCAAAGCATCCTGCCAAACCTTTTATACTTGTAATATGTGGGTCAAGTGTTCGCAGATGACAATTAACGCCCTGCGCATTCAGTACAACAACGCTTTTACAGTGTTGCTAGTCTTGTCGCGGTACTGCAGCGCATCAGGCATGTTCGCAGAAGCTCACACGGATGGCTTTCATGCTGTTCTTAGAAAGAGAGCTGTCTCGTTGCTAAGCCGCATCCGTGGCAGCTCAAACGACCGACTGTCTCCAGCTACTTGGAATGGACCTGTCGTCCAATTTGAACTTCGACAGATACATTGAATCCATGGCCAAAAATGCAGCAAGGAAGCTTGGGATCCTTTCCAGGGTGAGGCGTTACTTTACACCGGGACAGTTGCTTCAGCTGTACCAAGCACAAGTCCGATCGTGCATGGAGTACTGCTGACACCTTCGGGATGGTTCTGCTACGTATCAACTGGCCACTTTAGATTCAATTGACAACCGTGGCAAGAGGCTTATAGGTGACTCGGAATTAGTGGAGGCGAAGCTTCAGAGCCTTGAACACCGTCGTAAAGTTGCCTGCTTATCGATATTTTACAGGATATATCACGGAGAATGTGCGATGGAATTGCACGATTTAATTCCGCCTTCCCCTTTCCATCACCGGGGGACTAGGCGTAGGCTTGGCTTCCACCCCTATGTTGTGGATATTCCAAAGATTCGCACGAAGCGTTACGCTTCCACATTTATATGGCGAACGGCCATGGAGTGGAATTCCCTGCCTGCAGACTTGTTCCCTGAACGTTATAACTTGGGTCTTTTCAAGGCGAGAGTGAATAGGCATTATTTAGGTATGCATGCTCCATCGTCGACCTCATCGTCACTTTCCATCAGGTGAAATGGAGGTCAATGCGCACTTATATTTTATAAAAAAAAACGACGTTCTTCGCGTTGCTTGTGGCTGGTAGGGTTGAGTGCCCGATCATGCTTCAAGAGACTGCATTCGCCTTCAATTTGAGGACTGTTTGTATTTGTTTTTTGTTTTTAATATTGGTAGATCTTGATGGGACTCCATACATAATTGTGAAACTATTATAAGATTATGGACTGTATCTGTCTGAAATAAATGAATTTTTATTTGACTCGAATCTAATGATGTGTGTAAAGTTTACAATCCGTATTGTGCTCGCCTGGGAACTACAGCCCAAGCCCTCTCATTGCGAGAAGCGGTCTGTGTTCAGTAGTAGGACTATTTTCCAGGCTTACTGTTTACAAGATCACTCTATTCCTTTTTTTTAACTCTGTCGTGTCTGTAGAGTTGCAATTGGAATGCAGATTTTGTGATTTAAAAATTTGTTTTCTCAAAAGAATTATACATTCACATAGAGTCGATAAACCTCAAATGATTTTGGTTGATTTCGCATAAAAGCGTTGAATTTATCACTTTGGAAAAAATATATAGTAAAATTAAGTATATACACTGATTAGTATACGGTGTGAAAACACGATTCCTCAAAATTTTCACGATAGAAAAAAAAAACACAAACTTACCTCGAAATTTTACAAGAAAACCGCTGTATTCAATAGATACTTCACATGTACCAATGTTTTTTTTTTTATATCAACTGAACTAAACAGAACACGTATGGTACACGATATACATTTTTCAAATGACTTTATTTGGTTTGTAAAAAAAATTATGAAATGAAACCAGCGTCCCTTCCGCTCGATCCAAGCAAAATGAATATTAGTACGGGAAAAGCTTGAATTCGAGTTGAGGTACTATCGACTCTTAAACGAGAAAATAGGTTTAGTAACATTATATAAGTACTAAACATCTTACGTCTCACGTCAAGCGGTAAATGCATAAAATCTATGTTATACAAATATGACATTTTAAGAGGTAGTTTTGACTCAACCACCGTAACATAGTAATAACTAGATGTATCGTGCTGTAATAGTACGTTGCAGGTTTTATATATTATGATTTTTTATTATTATTTTAAATTTTTAACGTTCATTTAAAAGATAAATTTTGAGTTGCTTCTTTAACATTGTTAGGCAACTTATTGCATATTTGTGTACTTTGAAAAGTAATATTATTTTTGTTATATAGTTGGTTCGCGGCGGCCGTAGTATTATCAGCTTTTTTAACGTCGTTCATCTGCTTCCGGTAATCTGTACCATTATAAACAAAAACAAAATCAAATTACAACGTACCTAACAGGAAGAAATTTCAAAAGTGAATCGTGAACAAAAACACGACGAGGAAGTGACAAATTATCAGATTACTGAAGCACGAAAAACAATCAAGAAAAAAAAACACACCAAAGAATACACCATAACGACGCAAAAGACATTAAACCTGCCAACTTCTTTTATGGTATCAAATGATGGGACAAATAAGTTGTACACCTGGTGGTAAACGACACGCTTGTCCATAACATTTGCAGTGCCGATTAGAGCTTTTAAATATCAAAGATCTGAGGCGCACTGCTACTGCGCCCGACGCCCAATGACGATAAGTTGAAAAGCCCTACATATTTGTAATTTCATCGATACCCTTTCCCTTTAAAACCGAAATGCAGTAATGTTCAATTTCCTGCTTGTAGTGTCATTGCTCCTTAGATCTGTGCGGTTTTAAACTCTGAGTAGCACTGTAACTGTCATGGACAGATGTGTCACTTACCGACAGGTGCACGACTTGTTCGTCCCGTTACTTGATGTCTTAAAAAAATAGATTCGAGAGAATAGTTTCGTTTCCGATGTGTCGAAGTAATCGGGAGGACCTAAAAACTTATTTTTATTTTAAATTTTTGTTGAATTGATATTCAATTATTTTTTATGTGAAATTACGCCGCTAGTTTGTTATAATTATTAATACAAAGATTGAACATACGCTATACCAACTAAGCCACGCATCTCTAGGCTGGTAGCCGTAAAGGTATCGAACTGGGTGACGAAATATCGTAACATTTCTCATAGATGGCGCTACGACCAAAAAGTCGTTGAAAAACTAAATACAAAGATACGACGTAAGCACATAGAATAATTTGTGAGGTCCGCTGGTTCGTTCAGTGGCTTACTTGGTATAGCGACTGGCACGGTATGCTTAAAGACGTCGGTTCGAATCCGGCCGGATGAAGGAATTTTTTCTGAGTGTCCGATCTTTGTATTAATAATTTTTTTTTTTCACGACAAACCTTTGTTTCAGGTCGCACCGGCGTTAGTACTGCAAACGTGCAGCTTATCTTCCACTCTGTGCTGTCGGAGCTGCTACACGACAAAAGGCGAAAGTAAGTCCCTCAAAGTACCTACAGACTAACATAAATAATAAAACATAATTTATTTATTTACACGTATGGACTGCGACGTGTGACGAAACGTGGGTCACCGGTAATAGGCCTCGGAAACGTCGAAACATGACACTCTTCATCTAAAACTCCTCCTCCATGAAGGTCGATAGATTGAGTTTGTACTCTCACCACAATTCAAGTTTACATTGTGGCGGGACTCCAACCGCTCAACCCTCAGGGTAGCATTGACATTCACCCGTATGTTCACCCAACATCCGCAGAGTTCTTGGAGTAATGAAGCTATGACAAGTACCTACAACAATGTTATCGGTATCCCTGGACGCAGTAAATGATTGGGGTCTGTCGGGACAGTGCCACTGAGGTTGCGGCTGGTGTTATTTTTCCGTACTACCTTTTTGAAACCGTCCTCGAGGACAGGCGGTAGTAACGAAATAGCTCCAGAGATGAGTTTTCGTTTCTTCTGACAAGAAGACCGGGTGATTTCATTGTTATTAATTTCCTGTAGACATTCTTCTTTTTCTTAAGTCATGTCCTTTTGGAAAAATAATCACCAAGGCAGCGCCGGCGCTAGCCTATGTACCCGGGTGCAATCAATACCCTGGCGCCCTCTAGTAGGCACGCAATCAAAGTGGAATTACTTACAATTATATTTTCCCCTGTTGTTGGAAGTTCGGGTGCAAATGGTGCAAGTATAATAAAAAAATAAAAAATTGTTTATTGAATAACGTATTGTACAAATTAATCACTAAAGACTAAATATGCGAATAAATGTAAAATACACATATACATGAAATAGGAGAATTCTGTATTTCAGGTAAAAAATACTTGTATGCAGGTGAATATACGATGATTAAATAATAAACAAAAAAATTATTGAAATATAAACAAAACAATAATAATAATTAAACAATGAAATGCAAATCATAACCTATTACGCTTAAATTATTCAGACAATTAATAAATTCTCTGTATCATCGTAGGACATATTTTGAAGGAATTTTTGGAGAATTTTCTTAACCGTTATGTAACAAAAATGATATATGGCCAGTTTGGCGTTTAATTTATTGCACAAAATTGGACCAAGAAACACAAAAAATCTGGAAATAAAAACGTTTTGATGATACAATTTTGGGGCAGACAATATCTTTCCGTCTTTTGTTAGTGTTCTCAGTACTATATGGGAGTGCAATGTGCTGTTTGAGAACTGTAGACCTAATAAATAATTGACTAACAGTTAGTACCTTACACGAGTTATACAGAAGGTCAGTGGGGTAAAGGGCGGAAGGTAGAAACCTTTAGAACCGCTCGCTGGGCTGTCTCAATGGTTAGTAATGAAGTTTTAGCAAGATGTAATAATTGATTGATATATGGCATAATAAACTTACCTGATTATTTTAAAATCAGTAAAGGCGTGCAATTTTTTCGATATGGTGCTTAAAAGATTAATAGAGAGAGAGATAGAGTATAAATGATTGTAGGAAGCAACTTCAGGCCGTTTTCTTACCTCGCTCGCGCTGTGACTGACGTAGGCTTTTTGGAGGCGTCGGCAAGCAGCGCTCGGCGGCCTATTTCCACCAGAAATTGCCATTACTACCTCGGCTTGAATTCTATTTATTCCCGTATTAATACGGTTCATTTTGCTTAGGTAGAACGGCAGGAACACTGTCTTTATTTCGGAATTTATTTCTTTACGAATAAAATTATAGCCATTTGTAGTAGCCAAAAATGTATACCGTATAACAAACGTGTTCTATTTAATTAAATTGATTTAAAAAACTCATTGGCATATGTAAAGTACCTATTGAATACCGCGGTTTTCTTGTAAAGTTGTGTTTTTTCTATCGTGAAAATTTTTAGAAATCATGTTTTTGCACCGTATATTAATCGGAGTACATCCTCAATTTTACTATGTATTTTCTCCAAAGTTTTTATGCGGAATTAACCAAAGCCGTTCGAGGTAGTATATTCAATTCGTATTCAAATTCAAATTCAAATTCAAAATAATCTTTATTTCATAGGTAAGCATTATTACACTTGAAATCATCACAATATTAAACTCTACCGCTCATTCGTAAGGCAGATTCCCCTGAGAAGAATGAGCAAGAAACTCCAGGGGTTGCTCTTTGTAAATAACATTTACAATATTTTTTTTATTTGAAACATCAGAGATCGAGACTACCTCCATGAGCTAAACGGCTAACTACCACGGATTTTTGTCATCCAAGTACGCAGAAGTTGTATAATAACCTTTAGTATAAAGTTTTTGTTTCACAATAGTTTTAAACCTCGTGAAAGGCAAATTTTGTATATCAACCGGAATCTTGTTATAGAAGCGTATACATTGCCCCTTAAATGATTTTTTGACTTTGTGAAGACGACTATCAAGAAAAGCTAGTTTATTTCTATTCCTCGTATTAATGTTATGTCTGTCACTATTTTTCGTAAAGAAATTACTATTCCTTTTAACATAAATTACATTTTCATAAATGTACTGTGAGGCTAGTGTAAGAATGTTAATTTCCTTAAACTTATCTCTCAAAGATACTTTGGGGCCCAGATTGTAAATTGCCCTAACTGCACGTTTCTGCAGGACAAATATTCTATTGATATCGGCGGCATTACCCCAAAGCAAAATGTCATTAGACTGTGAAAGTAGCTGAAGTAAAGCAATCTAGCGGTTTCGACGTCTGAAAGTTTCTTTATTTTTTTAATCGCGTACACTGCAGAGCCGAGCCGTTTTGATAACTTACTTATATGGGGACCCCATAGACTCGTACGAGCTTCCCCTGTAGTTGTGGGTAGTGAAGATTCAGTGCTGTTCGATTATTTTAGTCATATACACGCGGCTGCGTAACTTGTTCCGTAAATTTATTATTAAATATGTTAACGGAAGAAGAATCAGATGAAGCCATCTTTTTTAATAATTTGAAATTAACTAAAATAAGATTCAACAATGATGCAAAACAACACCATAGATTACAGTGCGACTATCATTCTTGCACTTCAGTGTCGAAATAAGGCATCTTTCTTTAGGGGTAAAACACAGACATTCCTGCAGAAATCTCTTTGTAGCGCAACGCATAATGACGCACTACTCACTCTACTTATACGAAATTATAATGTATGTTAGAAATAATTTGTCTTCATTTGGTACTGTGAATGTTTCTGGCATCCCACTTCGCCGTACCGGTCATTTGAGAACAGTCCCTCGACGCATGGCACTTGCAGAGAAAAACCCGCGTGTCATCGGACCTACTTACTATGAGCGTTTACCCGCTACTCTCAAACTTGAACCGTCTGACGAAATATTTGGGCGCCGGCTGAAAGACCTTTTCTTGAAAAATCCTTTATACTCCGTAAAAGAATTTATGGACTTTAAATCGTAACGAATTCAGTATTTTCTATTTTTATTCTAATTTTTACCGCATTAACATACTCTTGTATAATTGTTATCAACTTATGACGATCCTTGATGGAGAATGACATTTGATATATAATTTAATGACAACAATATTATATAATGAATTGCTAATTTTGTAATTATTGTGTGCTTTTCTTATAATTTTCCTTTTTGACGATCTCAATATAATTTCTTATACTTTGACATGTAGTGCAATTTATACTGTAATGTTATATTTGAGAAATAAATGAATCTGAATCTGAATCTTTCTATGATTTTCTGGGTTTTGAAAATGGCGCACTGAGCTCAAGTTTTAAAACTCCGCGAACTGTTGGCACACGTGCCACGCAAACTAAATAGTCAGTCAGTCAGCAGTCTATACCCAACAGTGGGTGACGTTGAGTAGTAGATGGTGATGATTGAACCTCGTTTTAAAAGCTGCTGCAGATAATCGTTTGGCTTTTTTCTCAATTCAAGGTTCACCTTCTCGGAGACGGCATATTTCTGGCGCTGGTGGAAAGAGCAACGGCCAGGTACAAGGTCTACCTTCAGGTCTTTGGTGCAAGATGGACGCATAGAGTTTGCTGGAGGCGGGTGGACTCAGAACGACGAAGCCACTTTGGGCTATGGACAGATTATCGACTTGTTCACTTGGGGTCTCAGGTAATTAATAAATGAAAACGTGTTATAATTATTAAAACGGTCGAAACACTCAGAACGAATCCGATACAAATCCGAATGTCGCTTGTGCACTAAGTCCGCCACTGTTAAACTTGATGTGCTGAAAGCTCTTGAATGTATATCCCTAATTGTTTCAGAAAAATCAATGACACTTTAGGACCTTGTGGTAAGCCTAAAGCAGCATGGCAAATCGACACATATGGACACACTCGAGAGCAGGTCTCATTGCTGGCTCAGATGGGATACGATGGACTGTTCATAGGTACAGTCCTATATCTTACTACTTAAGTTTTGCTTATAATGCCCCTCCCTATCAACCTTTGGGCTCGGTTATCTGTGCAAGCAAGTCTGCACAGGGATCTTATCAGTCAGGACCTGGGGGTCGATTCTGAGGCATATGCCCCATTACGATCCAAGGGTAAACATACCGACCCTTGTGTGGAGGAATTTCTTTTAAAGAAATTGTAATTATATTTTTAATTATGGACATTTGTATTTTGAAAATATTTATTTTTTTATTTATATTTTTGTAGTTCGTATTTGTCTTTATTTCTCTTTTATTTTATTTTATATTAACATTAAAACTATTATTTACCTTAATGACGATCATGTTATCCCTTGACATTATATTTCGAATTGTGATATTATGAAATTGATCATATGAAATAAATGATTCTATTCTATTCTATTCTTCTTGAAAGGCAAAATGGAATAAGCATTGACTTACAATTATATGGACGTCGGATCCGCGCTAAAAAGTGTCCGAACTTATAGGGCCTTAAAATTGTATACAGAGCGTCATTCACGCTTTAGTCTTCGTTTGTTCGACTGACAGCGAAGCAAGCAAAATTAGACAGTACTGTGATGATATTATAATTTAAATTCAACGTTTTAGCTTTTTCATATTCCTTTACATGTCACTACGTTTAAATAGCTTGACTTGGGACATTTTTTTCGTGGTTTTTGTATTAGACCCGTCGTCCATTTATTTGTAAGTCAATGAGAATAAGCGACACTTTTGGGTCATATTGAGTTATATAATACCGTTGGAATCAGAAACATTAGCTGATTCCAACGGTACCTATACATAAGTCAACATGACCAAAAGCGTCTCTCATCTCATTTTGCCTTTGACGCGTTGATATATTTTCTCTGTTTTATGATCATTTAAGAAATTTTCCAGTTCTGGACTTAAAACCCCAGATTTCAAAAAAAAAAATAGAAAATATCTATTGCTTACCGTTTTAAGGACGAGTCGACCATAAAGAAAGAGAAACGATGTTGGAAGAGGATCGTATGGAGTTTATGTGGCGAGGAAGCGATGTTTTAGGTATGTAACAAATACGTTAATACCAGATTATATTGATGCCCGGAGTAACAATTCGCGTGATTTTTTACCAAATTTCACCGTGTGCTATTCCGATGTTTTAGTTAGATTTGTACCAATGTGTTACTGTGCACTTACCACATTGGTTTTTTTTACAATACCAAGCGACATGCTATTACAGTTGCAGTACCACTCAGAGCGTTTAATCGCAAAGATCTTAGGGGCTCTGCCACTTTGTCCGCCGCCTATATATATTATTAATTGTAATAAAGAATATTTTTGGAATATATGGAGACGTACACACAGGTCAGTTGGTGGCGTTGTCTATATTTTAGTGCAAACCACCGAGTTGATATTTATAAGTGATATATCACTGATGATTTACCAGTAACGTATGGCCTTTATTTCGTCTCTATTTCTGGTTATATACTCGATGGCGTTATACCTAATGAGTAAAAAGGCATTAATAACTTTTTTTTTAAATAAAACTAGAAATATTTTTTATTGTATGTCAAAATGTTTCACCACAATGATATCCAATTATTTTTTTGTGAAATTACTCCATATAAAGAACTAGAAATACTTACAATTTTAACTTTAAACGTGTCCATATATTTAATATGACTTACGTAAGAGTGTCAACAATTCGTAAAAATCCGTGGCATAATTGGCATAGCGTCTGACACGGTTTGCTGGAAGATGTTGGTTCAAATCCAACCGTTTTGGAGGATTTTTTTCTTGGTGGTCTATATATTTATCTTTGTATTAATAATTATTACAAACTGGTGAAGTAATTTCACAAAAATATTGAATATTATGGTCATTGACTTACAAATAAATGGACGACGGGTCTAATACAAAAACCACGAAAAAAATGTCCCAAGTCAACCTATTTGAAATTTAAATTGTAATGTCATCGCAGTATCGCGCTGTCAGTAGAACAAATGAAGACTAAAGCGGAGTGTCGCGCTCTGTATACTATTTTAGCGCCTTACAAGTGCGGACACTTTTTAGCGCGGACCCGACGTCCATATAATTGTAAGTCAATGATTATGGTGGTCAAATTACGTGGCATTCAATCAACTAAAACAAAATAAGTTAAATTTTCATAAATGGACTGACGTTTAAAATGACGATGAGATGTATACAGGCGGGCAATGTTTTGATCTCGGCTTGTAATTGTCTTCAATATCCATTTATACCGATTCTTTTCAGGCAAGATGTCAGACATAATGACACACACACTATTCAACCTGTACAATGCTCCGGAAGGTTTTTGCTTTGACTTTTTGTGCAGCGACGAGCCTATTGTTGACGATCCAGACAACAGAGCCTATAATGCGGACAAACGGGTAAGAACTCAGAAATGGAATATTTTTTCCGTCTGTAATTAGATTCATTTTCACGGTTGTATTTCTGTGTTAAAAGAAAGATAGATAGATAATTTTTTTATTGCTCACACAAGAACAAGAACAGTACATAAACAACTTAAAACTAATGTGTGCAAAGGCGGTCTTATCACTAAGACCGATCTCTTCCAGACAACCTTTGATGTAGGGAAAAGCTAATAGTAGTGTGCCAATTTTAACATTTTAACAAATAAAAAAAAATAGACACGAATTGTGTAAAGTTATATTATTCGTCAATTGTATTGTGGGAGTGTCATAGCCTTTAATAAAAAATAATCTAAATAGCGAGAGGAATTAATTTTTTTATTTTTCGAGCTACAAATATTTTTTAGACTTTCTTTATACGTATGCTATATTTATTAGTGGATTTTTAATTCGGGACTTAATCAAATATAAAATATATTTTATTTATCGAGTTCTTAGATTTTCGCGATTGTTACACATTGTTACAACTACTATGACTCTTCAGTCAACTATGACCATGGGATCTGTAAAGGGCCCGAAACGTCGGTTTGTTTGAAAAACTAATATACGCGATTTAAATCTGGAAAAATAGTTTCATTTCCTATATATTTTACTTATCTCGATGTTTCGGACAGTTGCAATATGTCCGAAACGTCGAATTAAATAAAATATATTTTATACGTGATTAAGTCCCTAATTAAAAATCAAATAATGTGTGAAAATCGTGAAAGTTTAAAAATATATTCTTTGATATTATATTTTTTTGATATATAATATTTTTTAAATAATTTTTAGACTTGTTTATTAAACCATTGAGGTTTTAGCACAATACAGGACAAAGAATGGGCAAATTTTGAAACTTCAAATTTACTCCTTTTGCTTCCTTTTTTAATAGCAATAATTTTCTATTTATATTAGTTACAATAATGAAATGCACCACTTTGAAATCTCCTCTAAACACACATTAATTTAGAATAATTGACCATTATCACACATTTTTTAATATCAACGACGCTTGCCTATCCTTTTTTTTATAAAAAACAAGTGCGCATTTGATCTCCATCTCGCCTGTTGGAAAGTGACTGAGGTCGATAATGTGTCATGAATACCTATTCACTTTCACCTTGAAATGGTCCAAGTCCGCAGGTAAGGAATTCCACTCTTAGACGCTCGCCATATAAATGTGGAAGCGATATGCTTCTTGCGAATCCTGGGTATGACCGCGACATAAGGGTGGAATCCCAGCCCACGTCTAGTCTCACGATTATGAAAAAGGGAAGGTGAAACCAAATTATACAATTCCATCACACACTCGGTGACTGCGTCGCTGCTGGTGCATCATCGTTCATCGATGTTATTAATTTTCGATAGACGTCGTTACCACATACGCGTATTTTAAATTTCTTATCAAGGGTGTTAATGTCAATGCATTACTTTAAGAACAGGTAAAAGCCTGTGTGTGAATATGAAGGAAATGTGATAAGAAATCAGCCTGCAAAATTTGTATATACAATCCATTTTTTGCATTCAAGTCAAGTCAACTAAACTTAGTTGGCACGGTATGCAGGAAGACGTCGGTTCGAATCCGACCGGATCGAAGGAATTTTTTCTGAGTGTTCGATCTTTGTATTAATAATTATAACTAGCGGAGTAATTTCACATAAAAAATAATTGAATACCGATTCAATAAAAATTTAAATCAGTTTATTCTAATATATTAAAATTAAAAACTACTAAACATACAAAATATTCAACACTTTGTACTGAGATTATTTTTTATTTCATGTGTACAGGTAAATGACTTTATAAGCCAGATTGAACGTCAGGCGAAGTATTACGATCACGACAACATCGTGGTCACGATGGGCGGAGACTTCACATATCAGAGCGCAGCAAATTGGTTCATGAACATGGATAAACTTATCAAGTAATTACGTATAACTCCTTAAGGGCGAATACAACCTCAAATGGCTTTAGTTGATTCATCATAACAGTGAAAGGCTCTAGACAGACAGACTGCATTTCAACTGCACTTCGACTACAAATTTGCAGTTTGAATGCAGTTCAAATACCGTTGGTCTAACTGCATTTGAACTGCACGTCGGCTGCAGCCCGGTTGCAGTCGGTGTGCAGTTGGCGTGCAGTTCCAACGAAATGGTTATATGCAGTTCAAATGCAGTTGGACCAACTGCATCTGAACTGCATTCAAACTGCAAATTTGCAGTCGGAGTGCAGTTGAAATGCGGTCTGTCTGTCTACAGCCTCAGTGTTGAATCAATTACTCTGGAAAAAATGTACAATTTAATTGTAAATTAAGGATATACTTTCGCTTATTAGTATACGGTGTGGAAACACGTTTCATAAAAATTTTACGACAAAAAAAAACACAAACTTATATCGCAAAGATCAAAGAAGCACTACCATTGCACTAGTCACCTTGAGACATATTTGATAAGCCCATAAGTATGAAAACAGCAATATTCATAACTGCTTAGCAACAAAAATGACAGTACTTCCCTGGACAAACTCTTTCAGAAGGACCTTTAGAGTGAGGCCGGATGAGCGTAATTTTGTGAGTCGCGTAATTTGAATTGCGTAGTTTGCGCTGCATTCATATTCATATAAAAGTACGGTTTGTTTCACACGACGCAAAATGAATTATCTGCCGACTCACGGGCGTAATGACGACTAACTTTCGGTTGCATCTTGCGACGGGCTGGCGCGGGTGGAGGTAGGAGTGACGGAAAAAAAAGTGACCCCCACTTTGGTATAAACGCTTAAAAAGCAACTAAATAAACAAAATACGTTCGTCTGGCGCACCAACCGAATTTCGGTCCTGCAAAAACTGCGCAACTGAAAAAACGCAACTCACAACTCACAAAATTACGCTCGTCTGGCCTCACCCTTACTGCGACTGCATACACTTGAATATAAATCTTAATTGTCAACTTGACGTACTGTCAACCCTGTACAAAAGGAACGAGAGTCAGGCTTTGAAAATTGTTATTCTTATTTTCAGTCATATAAACACGCACCCTGCTAACATATCCGACGTCAATGTGTTCTACTCGACGCCATCTTGTTATTTGAAAGCCATTTATTTGTATGGGCGGAGAGATAAGGCGATTTATACTGAACGGGTACGTGTGAACACGACAATATAACATTTACCACACACTTATAAACGCGAATCCCACTTAAAAAAAGGGGCCCGAGCGAGACAGGGTCGCCATGTACGTATGGGCAGGGCTCAGTGACTTGCTCCAGGTTACGCAATAAGTGCCTACCGCTGAGTGCGCCGACGTCGGCGCAAGCGCTTACACAAGTCTTTCATTTATGAGCATTCGGCCCCGCAGGACTGCACATGGCGGGCAAAGTTATTTTCACCTCTCTGAGCGCGTGCTTAGGTAACTTTTTTCTCGTAGTGAGTGCCTGGTGTCATTAGTCAGAGTTAGTAGGCTGTTATAGCGTAGGTATTTTCGATTTTGTATGAGAATGATGTATGTATTACGTAGTAACTATTACGTAAACAGTGGTATGGGCGAAATGGGATCAATTAAACAAGTGTTATTAATACTAAAAAATAAAATGGATTTAAATTGTCTTACATACTAACGTACACACTACAGTAATTTGGGTTTATATAATTCCAGAACGACCACCTCCCATACGGCAGCGACGCGCACACATACTGGACTGGTTACTATACTTCTAGACCCAGTCTCAAATACTTCATTCGACAAGCGCACACGTTTTTGACGGCAAGTTATTTTTTATCTACGTCCTAAAATGGGACATTCTCGGTTTTCCTAGTATGTACTTCATGATCTCGTTCATCTTCTTTTAACAAACGGAATATTAAGTGCAAAATAATTGGTTGATATCCATTGACTTACAATTATATGGACGTCGGGTCCGCGCTAAAAAGTGTCCGAACTTATAGGGCGTTAAAATCGTATACTGAGCGTCATTCACGCTGTAGTCTTCGTTTGTTCGACTGACAGCGAAGCAAGCAAAATTAGACAGTACTGCGACGACATTACAATTTAAATTCAACGTTTTAGCTTTTTCATATTCCTTTACATGTCACTACGTTTAAATAGGTTGACTTGGGACATTTTTTTCGTGGTTTTTGTATTAGACCCGTCGTCCATTTATTTGTAAGTCAATGTTGATATCCCAAAATGTACGACCAAGCACTTCACTAAGGACGATTCCTTTTTAATATGAAACCAAAGAATTAATTATTACTTTATTACTTATTTAAAGGAATGCAAAAAAAAGGTTGGATTATGATAACAACGTTCTTGATTACAGTTATATTTTCAGCCAATCCTTCAAGATGTGTTACATATCAACGGCAATATAAATTATTGTGATTTTCTCAAAGAAAACTAGCCCAATTTTGAAAATATTTTAAATGTTAATATATTTCACAACATTTTATTTGTAACACAAGTAGTGTAGTATAGTAGTGTGCTATGACCGCATAAAAATAATCCGAAGATGATCACGAGTAGGGCATGCAAACCGGTTACTCATTTAACCGAGAAAACCGAGTCACCGTTCATTTTGGAACGCGGTTTTCTGCTAAGGCAAACCTGGCTTTTTCGGGGTTTTCAGTTTTGTCTTAAAACAATCATAACTCATACTATCATCATATCGTAATTAATAATGATAAACAAAGCTAACTAAATGTTAGGAACTCGGGCACCTGATTAAAGTGCAGCAACAGCGTCCGCAAGATGGGTGCAGGTAACTTTGGGCAGACAGCGAGTAGAGTGCGCATGCGCGAGTAGTATTGCAACAATATTTTTTTTAAATCTTTGTGGTTCAAAATATCGTCTTGTTGTAGTGCTGTTGATTTATTTTTTGATGTGTTTTTGGTTTTCTAACTCTTTTAAGGCATTATTTGGGTGACAATAGAATAATATCCGAAAAAAGCGAAGAATAACCGGGTAACCGAAAAAACCGGTTTTCAAAATTATTCGGTTTTTGTATGCCCTAATCACGAGTCTAAATTATGATCAAAACTTGTTATTACACCTATATTCTACTATTCTATAATCTATGCAATTACAGGTGGTAAAGCAACTAACAGTCATAGCTAAAATGGGTGATTCCTTCGAACTCCACCTTCTCCGGCATGCTGTGAATCTCCTGTTTCATCATGATGCTGTAACAGGTAATTGTTAAAATATATTTAAGAATGTATAATAAAGTAAGAGAGATAGATGATAATAGCTTCCGAATATAATTAGAATAGGAATAGAATTATTTATTTCAGACCATGGTCTATAGTAATGATAGTAAATTTTTCTTACGTGCTATGGTTAGTACAAAACAAAATTACTTAATTCTAGAGAAATGCCACGTCTAGACTACGACCCTACGCACGTGTAGTTGCACCAAATATTGTTGGTAGGGGCAGTCTAGTCTGTTGGCGACAACGGCTAGGATGCTATTAGCGCTGCCGTGCACACGCATCATGAGTGAGGCCGCTCTCTTGCGAATAATGGCTTGAAAGCCATCTGTGTGCGCCTCCGTGAACATGATGCACTACAGTGTCGCGGCAGCCCCATTAGGATCCTAAAAGCGTTGCTATATTGCACCCTTATTGTGTTCGGGGTTCTCTGCGTACACTTCACCCACAGGCTGCTCGTGTAAAAGTTTTGGCAATATGCTTTAAATAACGAGATCCTTACGTCTTTGGTGCAACGAGCAAACCTACGGGCGAGCATATTACATCTAACAGACTGAGCCCTTCTCTCCCTATCCATTTTGGCACTATCATACAAGTTATCGGTTACCCAGTATTTAAATTGAGAGACATGACTTATCTCACTACCATAGAAAAACACCGGCGGCACCGTTCCAACAGAACCTGCGTTTGGCTTAAAAACTAGGAGCTCGGAGTTCAAGGGCTTCCACGTATGTCTCACATATCCTGAACAGCTTACCAAGTGCACTGATCGCAGAAGTCAAACCACCATATAATCAGCGTAACTGATATTATTAATGACATAACTACATAAGTGAATAAAATAAAATAAAATAAAGCTATGATTCGTGCAAGCTTGATATAACCGTAACTAGATAAACTCGAACCCAACCTCATTTAACTAGCTCAATCGTGGGGTAGCTCAAAAGTTACCATAATCTATAATTGTTAACCAAATATAATAGAAAATAGCCAATAGTTAGACATAATTTCGAGATTTGATTCTATCAAGTTTAATGTTTTCTAAGAATTTATCCAAAATACAGATTAAATAGTCAACAAACCTTAGTTTCAAATCTATAATTGGCTTATATTATGGAATTCAAACTTCATATTGTTTGTTAGTCATGATAATTCCTCAATGACTTTAACAAAAGTGTAAAAATCTCAAGGTACAAAGAATAAAACCGCGCTTAGGCTAGTACCCTGTGGAACACTAAAATCAAAACCTTACATGCCGTAATGCTGTATTTTCGCAACCTTTGATAGAAATTATTTGAGACCCTGCATTTTTGGTGCCACGTCACAAAAAGCACAGAACCTGGAGAAGTCCTGGCATAAGAATGGAATCTACCTCTACATAAATTTTTACAAACGTCTTAGGTAAAAATGATTTTTGCTTCGTACGTCTGCTTGGAGCTTCAAATCGCAAAGATCTGAGAGACACTGCCATTGCGCCTGTCACCCTAATACATAAGTTGACCAATCTGTGACTGTAATTTCATCAGCACCCTAAACTTTAACTTGGAAACGTTATTTTATGTATCCTTTACATGGATACTATAAAACCGAGGTTTCAAGATACGCTCTTGTGGTACTCCCTAGTTTACATAGTACATTTACAATATAAATTCTTTGCTAATCGTATTGTTTTTCTTGACAAAATTAATCACAGTTTTAAAAATGTTACATGCATTTTTTTGACAGGTACCAGTCAACAACACGTCACAAATGATTTCATACGAATGCTAAGCGAGGCAATCGAAGCTTGTACTAAGAAAGTTTCAAATTTATTGACGTGAGTAATGTTTTTTAACTTGTTTTGCGCTTCTTCTGATACTTTATCTATTCCACTACTTGACACTGACACAAGAGGTTGATCTTAGATAACAAACCGATTGCTATCATTTTTTTAAATTTGAACACGTTTGAACCTTTTATTTGTATACTAAATATAGTATTATATTAGAAATTATAAATGGCTTACGAGTGAAGAAGCATTTGTTTTTGTCATGGCTCTTTAAAACTCTTTTGTAAAATAGTAACTTTTAGAATCCAATCATCATCATCAACTCATTTATTCGTCCCACTGCTGGGCACGAGCCTCCTCTCTAGCGAAGTTTTAAGGCCATAGTCCGCCAAATTGGCTTAGGCCACACAGTTGGGGACTTCACACGTTTCCCGGGTCTTGTGAACCTTCTTCGATGTGCAGTTTCATCACGAAGTTTCCCTTCACCGAATGTCATAAGTTCAATTTGCTTTTACATGTTGAATATTTACCATTTATTGTTTAGCTTGATAAAAGTGCCCAGTATAATGTATGGTCTTGAAATATCTGTATCCAGTGCTGCCTTATAATCTTCACTAGTCTTAGAATCTGCCTAATTGTGTTGTCCTGGATTAAGCTGTGCAATCGTGCTTATGCCCATGAGTTTGCGTCCTCGGTTCAAAAGTATCAGATATCCTAATCGAGAGTATAGACCTTCTTAAGTAACAAACATCTATCCAATCTTCCTCATTTATAATGTTATTGTGGTCTTCAGTTATTTAACTCCAACATGGGGAGGCAGCCGCAGAACCAAGAATAACCAACAATTTATCATTTGTCACGAAATGAACATCAGCCAATGTCGTGTAAGTAATTCAATAACTTCGAGATATAACTGTATTGTATACAAAACATACAAACTTCAATCTTATATTTAATACAAAAGTGCAAAAGAAGGATGGCGACATCCCGTGTATTTTGTGACACAGCGTTTTTGACGACATGCATTAAAGAGACCTATCAATACTTGTGATTCATTATCGAAGCATCAAAAAAACTAATTGTGTGTAGCCTGTAGAAGCTGGTATTTATACACTTGATAAAGGTTACGTTTATAACATTGTCCTGTATTTCGCTTCAGATGTTCATTCGTAGTAGCAGAAAACAACAAGTTTTCAGTTTGTTCCTAAAAAGGAGAGCAGCGCCTGGCAACTTTTGATCGAAAAGCTCCTTTTTGTTTTATTTAAAAAATATCAATTACGCTGTTTTGTTTAAGGCGTGTCACCGGAAGAGAAGCGGGAAAAGCGTTTTTTTTAATGAAATGGTTTAGTTATTTAGTATTTTAATAACAGTGAAATAAAAACTTTATACTGAAGGCTTTTATACAACTTCTGCGTACTTGATAACAAATGCAATGACAAAAATCCGTGGTAGCAACCCGTTTAGCTCATGGAGGTAGTCTCGATCTCTGATGCTTGAAAATAATAAAAAAAATACTGTAAATGTTGAATGTGTACAAATGTTATTTACAAAGAGCAACCCCTAGAGTTTCTTGCTCATTCTTCTCAGGGGAATCTGCCTTACGAATGAGCGGTAGAGTTTAACCAATGTGACGATTTCAAGTGTAATAATGCTTACCTATGAAATAAAGACTATTTTGATTTTGATTTTTTGAATTATAACTGAATATTGTCTTGCAGTTCACAGAAATGCAAGAATCAATGCTGTTACTGGTCTACAACCCATTGAGTATCAAGATATACCATCACATCCGAATGCCGGCCATTGCGTTGCATTACTCTATTAGAGATTACAACGGTAAGATATTTTATTTACTGGTAAGGAACAAAATATTATTGAACCAATTTAGCAAAGCCTTGCAAGTCCAATATTTGTTCAAAACTAATTAAAGCTTCATAAGTCTGTCACAGATGGCGATAAAAGAGAAAAAAATTAATACAAAGAAGATCTGTACAAACACTTCGTAAGTCTGGCTCAATCAGTAGCTCAGATCGAAAATTTGGAATCCTTGCTACGATACTTACCTACTCTAACATTAAAAAAACACAGAAGAAATTTACTAAATTTGTAAGTTACAAATTTAAAATACCCCATTTGGAGTACATACACCTTTGTGAAAAATTTCATCTGTTACCTTTATATCTGCGGAGAAATATAGCTGATACGTGTCTTCTGCTAAACATTGCACAGAATATGATTGATTATTCAGAGCTCTTCAGTGACATTATACTCAAAGTTCTATTTAAGAAGTTTTGTAAGAATAATTTGCTTCATGTTCCATTTAAGTGGTCGTACTAATTTTAGAATTAATAGTTATCTACCAAAATCATTAACATCATTTAACCAACTCAGTGATGACGGTCGCATAGATCTTTTCTGTAACAGCGTTAAGAATACAAAAACTATATTATGACTAATAACTTCTTTCAGGTGGCTGATTAATTGTTGTGTTCTCGAGAAGTGTCATTTAGTATTTTATAATAGGGTTATTTTCTTGTTTTTTTTCTTGATTAATCATTATTTAAATGCATGTTGTAAAAGTAGCTGTCAGCTCCCAAAAAAGCGGGAAAATAAAGCGGTGGCTCTAGTTTGGCATATAAAGTTGAACTTCTGTCGAAGGATTTTTTTAATATTCTTCTTCTGAGCGAATCTGCACCGACGTTTATATTTGTGCGGACCAGTACTTAGCGACTGACACAGCATTATCAATGGCGTTGTACCGGTTCTCGCGTGTGCAGATGTAGGGACACGCAGGGCACGACAAAAGATGTGCCATTGTCTGGGGAGAGATAGCACACAGCATGCGCTGTCCGAGCTGTAACCCCAACTGTACATGCTCTTCTTGCTTGGACCGATTTGGAATCGCAACCTATTCAGACATTTCCAAGTTTACCAAGGTAGATCATGGTGGTCCGATGATTGACACCGTGGGTTATCTCTCCTTTCAGAGACTTACTCGGACTTGGTTAGTTTAGAGGACGGGTATCCAGAGGGAATCTAACGATCTTTGTATTAATAACTGTGACAAAATTTTTTTGGGGATTGTTACCTCTTAATGCCTATTTTGTTCATACTCAGCTTAACGTGGTTTGCTCTCTAGCGACAAGTCTTCTTCAGATAAAGCAAGAATACCAGCGAATTTGCTGAGATTTCTTCCTCTTAACAGAGGAAGCTCAGTTTTGAGAGCCATTTTAACCTACTTCCAAAAAAAGAGGAGGTTCTCAATTCAAGAATAGAATTGAGACATGATTCTATTCTATAATTCTCTTCTCAATACTTTGTCAGAGTCTTGTGAACAGATTTAGATGATTCTTTTTTTACTGGATAGTAGACGTCCCATTCAAATTTGAAGAAAACGTTCCACAGACGAATCAGGAGATGAATGCGATTTATTGGATTTCACCCACTTTATAACGATAACCGATTTTAATAAAACTTGGCAAATAAATGGAATTCTACAAACTTTAGAAGTCGGGTTTTTCTAAAAAAACTTAAAATAATTACTTACTTTTTTTAATTATTTATTTTTTAATTAATTATTTTGGGATCCAGATTGTTCCGCATTCCAGTTTGCGGAGACCCCAAACATTGACCGACGCAATACATTGCAAAGAATGCAGAATGCGTACGCAAAAGGTGAAAGTGGAACTCATGAACACGTGACTACCTCAAGGCGGTGTGTGTCACGGGCCACGCCGCACCGCGCCCGTGTTTACAGGCAATCTCGCGCTACAGACTCGTATATGTGAGGCCGCCCCAGCACGGATGGCACCCTTCCCACGGTGCGCTGGCGCAAGTTCGTGCGGCGCGGCCTGTGATACCACGCGCCGTGGGTAGCCAGCGTTATATTTCCGGAATTCCTTACAGTACATTTGTGACACAGATGTACATAGCGATTGTGACCAAACGTATGTCATAGATGTTGAGTGTGTGCGTTATTTATTTATTTATTTATTTAAAAAAAAAAAATATATATAGATATGCATAGGTATTTGGTTGCAATTGTTTTCAACATCATCTTTTATCGACAGATGAAGAAGTAGAGTACCAGCTAGTCCCTCTGCCAGCAGCCGTGATTAATTTGCCAGGCAGGAAGTCCACAGTCATACAGGAGCTTTGGTTTGAAGCCGAGAATATACCGCCTTTGGGCTATGCCTCTTACTACATTGCGCCTGTTAGAGCGCAATTGGTAAGTTTTATGAATGTCCCATTCCCAGATCGCAGAATCAGAATGTTAATTATAAAAATGTTCAGTTTCCATCCCATATTCAGACATTCCCCATCCCCATGTGTATCAAGTTCGAACGAAAATGTTTTCTGTGGCTGTTTGAAAAGCAATCTCGGGACGTGGGTTTTGCGCAATAGCTGTTCTGTGTATGTATTTGTAAATATTTCGACCTCTCCTAAGTAAAGGTATCGTATGTCGAAATTGCCAAGTTCCCAGGGGAGCGTTTTAAAGTTCTGAATTCACCGAAATGGGCTTAAGACGTGAATTTAGCATTTGTGTTTTTGTGTCTACCTATAGTTTGTTTTGATTTGCAGGAGGAAAATGAATTTGCGAGGAAGTTAACACAACAAAACAAGACGCCAGTTAACGATCAGCAAGAAATTATTCCACATATTGCAAATGAGGTAAGGAATAGATACCTTTTAGACCCACGCATTATGTATTCTTTGCTCTCATAGTGGAAGAAACCTGCATGTTGAATAAAATTCAGAAAATTCTTCAAAGACGCATGGAATCTCCAACATAAAAAAGTATGCGTGGTCTACTGTGGACATTTTGGCTTAGCGGGTTTATTCAAGTGCTGATGATATAAAAAACCATTTGGTACTTTTTTCTTATCCAAGAGGCGAGACGAACAAGTCGTGCGGCTGGTGTTAAGCGACACGCCTGTCTGACAGTGCCACTGCACCTGTCACCCTGAGATATAAGTTGACAAGTATCATGCGCCTGTAATTAAAAAGTGTCTTTACACCAGCAACCTTACCCTTCAAAATCGGAACGCAGTAATACCCACATTACAGTTTGGCAGCAGAAATAAGTTAGGTAGCATTACTTCCCTGGACGAATTCTTTCACAAGGAGCTCCACTGCTACAACCTCTTGTTTCTGTGATGTTTCCAGTACTTGAAAGTATCATTAAACAAAGACAGTGGTCTCCTGGAGTCAATTCAGCACGTAGACGGTGTGAGGATACAAATATCACAGAATTTCTATAGCTACAGCCAGACACAGCAGAGTCAACAATCAGGGGCTTATAGCTTCAGACCTGATAAGCCTAGACCTACGCCCGTGAGTGGAAAATAATATTTGGATTTTTCTTCTTCTTTTTCTTTTTTTTTTTGGTAATATACTGCAACAAAGTCATAAATTGCGAATCAAATGCACGTTATAAAAACCGCTCATATTGCTTACTGAAGACACGAAAAACAGCAAGAACAAAACTACATATATTTCACATAGGAAATGAAACTTTTCTGTTTTAGGATCTATGAGTAAATCACGTATATTTGTTTTTTCAAACAAACCAACGTTTCGACGCCTTTACTGGTCTTTGAATCGATTCAAACATCGCGTTTTTTTATAATATCAAATGACGGGACGAACAAGTCGTGCGCCTGTTGGTAAGCTACACGCCTGTCCATAACAGTGCAGTGCCACTCAGAGATTCAAATCGCAAAGATCTAAGGGGCACTGCCACTGCGCCCGTCACCCTGAGACATTAATTGACAAGTTCCATGTGCCTGTAATTTCACCAGCACCCTTCAAAACCGGAACACAGTAATGCTAACGTTACTGCTTGGCGGCAGAAATAGGTAAGGTGGCAGTACTACCCTGAACGAATTCCTTCATAAGAAGCTTAGATTATAGAATTTCTAGTAGTTGCTTAATTTCAAAAATTAACCGAGAGCCTTAATATAATATTAACTAAGAATTAAGATTAAGCTCCGCTGCATATGAAGTCCGCAGAATACGTGAGCTTACCGATGTTAGTACTGCTAGACTAGTTTACTTTAGTTACTTCCACAGTATAATGTCCTACGGGATTCTCATGTGGGGTAAAGAGGCAGATATTCAAACCATATTTGTATTGCAAAAACGAGCGATTCATTCTGTGTACCATCAAGGCTCTCGGGTTTCTCTTAGAGAAAAGTTTGAGGAGACTGGTATCATGACTGTGGCATCACACTACATTAAAGTGATTAAAACTTTTTTCAAATTTGCAGGTCACCGAAAAAGCGACGTACCATGCAATCCGTGGGACAATAGTCAAAGAGATCCGCCAACGGTTCACAGATTGGATCACTCAGATCATAAGGTTATACCGAGGTGAAGAATTCATCGAGATCGAGTGGGTGGTTGGGCCAGTACCTATTGGGTAAGTTACAGATGAGATATCAATATGGCACCAGACGGACGATCAGTCCAATGGCTAAACTGAAAAATTGTCTAAGGTTTTGAAATTTACGACTATGTGTGAAAGAAGTGAAGGAAACAAGGGAACTATGCTTTGTAAGGAAATCCATTGCACGCCTATGGAAGTCATGAATTGAAATAATAATAATAACGTACACACTCACAGCCCTGCACTAGATACATACACAACCACAAATTCCACCCAAACTCACGAGAGAAATGAATGTAGACCATACAAATATTTCTCGCCGACTCTGCGATCAAACCTAGGACCTTTGTGTGGCTGACTGGCATGGTAACTGTTCGGCCATAGAGGCAGTTAAAATGTTGGTTTATACAGGGTTATTTGTAGAATATTAACAATCTCCAAGGACTGTATTACTAACATCATAAACAAGAACTTTTGGCAACAACAACGGTTGAGAAACGGATTATTGTGCCATAATAATCCTTTCATGTTTTTCAGTAACGATTTAGGAAAAGAGATAGTGACAATCTTCAACACAAACATAACGAACAATGGGGTGTTTCATACAGACTCCAATGGGCGGCAGATGATGAAGAGAACTTGCTGGAACGAAACATCTAGTAAGTTATGAAATTAATGTGGGGGACCACATTAATTTTGTTTGAAATGAATACGTTGGACGAGGTAGCAGACATCTTCTGGGTCTTCCATTTGGTCCATTAATTTCTGGATGTAATTTTATAAATAGAAAAAGAGAACATGAATCCCAAAGACCTAGGATTTTAATCAAGGTCCAGGTAGTTTTTGAGCTTGTTCCCACCAAAAAGAAATGATGTATTAAATGCAACTCATAATCGTCTACAAAAACTCCCACATGAAAACTAAACGGTTTTTGTAACTAGTGTTAGGTTGTAATCACAATCAGGGCGTATTTGGCATACTACATTGTATATTGTATCATACTCGAACAAATATGGTTATTGGAATGTATCACTTTTGCAAACTGTTCAAAAATGTTCAATATCATAATTAAAGTTGTAATTAAATTTGTATTGAAATTGATATTCAATTTTTTTTATCACTCCGCTAGTTTGTTATAATTATTAATATAATATTACAAATATCGAACACTCAGAAAAAAATCCTTCGATCTGCTCGGATTCGAACCGACGTCTTCTAGTAAACCGGGCCAGACGCTATGCCAACTAAGCCACGGAACGAACAGTGGATCTCACGAATTTTTCTATATGCTTGTTGTGGGATCTTTGTATTGGGTTTTCAACGACTTTTTAGCCGTAACGCCATCTATGAAAAATCTATGAAAGTATTTCGTCACCCAGTTAGGTAACTTTACAGCTACCAGCCCTGGCTAGATATGTCGCTATTAACTGTAATTAAATTTGCATTGAATTGATATTCAATTATTTTTTGTGAATTTACTCCACTAGTTTGTTATAATTATTAATACTTTAAAGTTGTTATTGTTGAGAAATTTGTATTACAAATGTCATTTTTCTTTTATAACGGTGTTGCCAATTAATAATTCTGCATGGCATAGACTGTGTTGTAACTATAGGCTTTGCTTGTAATCTGCCATCTGTTGTCATCTTTTGGTATTATTGTTGGTCATAGCCAATACCGCCAAAACAGTTATTCCTCTTAGAGGAAAGCTATTCTTCGATGGGGTTTGGTGGTTTTGGGAAGAAATTTGTATAAATAAGCGCCAAATCTTTTGTATCGGGTCTTTTTCCTTTGTACCCTGACTGGGGAAATAAACCATCACAAGAGAATTACGTTATATTTAATACTATCTATATGCAATGCATTGTTTATATTAACTTTCTTGTTTTTACCCCCATAGGTCAACAGCAAAAGAAGCCAGTATCGGCGTGTTACTTTCCTGTGACATCACGCATTTGCATCCAATCTTACAACTCGTCTGCAGCCATGTGCGTGCTTACAGACAGGACGCATGGCGGCACTTCGTACAACGAGGGAGAGCTGGAACTTATGGTGATAGAAGCATAGAATAACCATTTAACATTTAACGCTAAATTGTACCAACAGGGTGGTGATTCGATAAATTGCTGTCCACAGGTCCATAGAAGACTTTTAACAGATGATGGTTTCGGTCTAGAAGAGTCGTTAAACGAAGAAGCTCACGGTGTAGGACTCGTAGTCAAAGGCAGACATCGGATTTTATTCGGCAATTTTCGACAGGAAGGTAAAAACAATATAGAAGTAGTTTCGGCAAGATAGCGTTCATATTGATAGTAAATGATATATGTATAAGTATAGAAATTAAGGATATAATATGATCACCGAGTATAGTCAAAGATTTTCCTTGTCAAAAATTTCGAGTCATTGTGATATAAACTACAAAATAAACGGGGCCAAGTGTTGAGCCCTGTAGAACACCGATCTTCGTTAAAAACCCCGAAGACCAAAATCCATTTAGACTGTCTTCACAAGAAGTTACAGCCTATTTGGAAGAACGCGGACCTGTGTTTCCTGCCTCTTAAGAGGTTAGCGAAGATTTTTTCAAATGAAGTGCAATTTAGTTAACTATTATCATTTAGTTGCACCATTAAGAAAACATCATGGTGAAACTTGCAAATCGGAGAATATTCATATAATATATAACTATAGCCCACGTACGCCGTTGTGGTCATTGTTAGCCTTAAACTCCTTTAAAGCAACGCAGCTGCGGAACCGAAAACTGAAGCAACCCATTCAAATTAAGAGCAACTTAAATAAGTTCTTCAAGATTCTTACAGATCTAATATTAATAATGTAGGTATTTTTGTTACCTGTATAATGATTAAACTACGTCTTATGTCTTCTTCTTTCTCCCAGTGGAAGACCAGTCGTTCAACGAGCGCATAGCCCAAGCTGCAAGACGATGGGATATGGAGCCGATGTTGTTCTTCACGTCAGGTGATAAAGTTAACAAGCGGAAGTGGCAGAACGTTAGGAATAAACGGGTAAATATTTATTTATTTCTTTTTGGCATAGCTACAGAATACAAACTGTGAAGACGCTTAAAGTTAACATGCATTATAATAGGAGTAAATTTGTATTCCTATGACAGCCACACACGGCATTTGCAAAATAAATAAGTACTTACAAATTAACAGGTTATTAAACATAATATAAAAAAAAAATTAAAATTTGCACTTAAAAACAATAGCAAAAAAATCATGTTACACGTATATAAAAACATGAGATTCTTAAATATCCAACATATTCAGCTTCTCCTTACAAATATTTAAATAAGTATAGCGACTATGGGAGAATAAGTCCAAATCTTTAGAAAAGTTGTTATGAGCTCTAAACATGCGAAAAATAGGATCATTATATGAGACATTGTTAGTGATACATGGCAAAGAAAAAGTTATTTGGGTACGTTTACTGCCAATCTTAAACAAGGCGTGGCTTAAGATCTCACTTGAGTCCATTTCAAAGTTGATAATTTTAAACAGTGTGGAATAGTCCAGTATCACGCGTCTGTACTGAAGAGGGCGTACCTTAAAATTTTAAAGTCTTTAAATATAGATCAGACCCATGGCTTGTACCAAAACCCTCCATCTAGCAACCTTTACAACGCCTTCTAATGAGTGTAATTTAATCAATCAACAAAATTCATTTAGTACTAGTGCAAGATAGAAACCCAAAGGATAATTTACATTAAGGGCTTAAAAACTAGGGCTAGATTAGGCTAGCAACGCGATGACACCTGATTGGTTACTTTCTTGACATTTGCTTTCTTCATTCAATAAAATAAAAAATAAATAAACATTCAATAATAAACATTTGGAAAGATGAACGAATGCTGTTAGATAATCTGAAACTTAAGCGTGGACGCCAGTATATCAAGCTAAATATTGATGAACCATAACGTTGTTCTGGAAGCGATATCCGAACAAAAATGTGTAGCTTGACTGTACTTAGAACAGAATTTAAGCTAGGGAGAAAACTCAAACAATTTGCACACAAATACGCTCAATCTTATGAAGTTAAAACTAAACGTAACATGCTAGAGTCGCTCAACAATTTTGCCCCTTTGTAACAGGTCAACAAACAAAGCAAAATAATAAGGTACTCTGTTTCAGTACTCAGCAATCAAAGTCCACGGTCTTCCAAGATTCATCCACATTTTGACTCTCGAGCCGTGGAAATCCGGCTCTGTGCTTCTCAGGCTGGAGAACACACTTGAAAAACCAGTCAGAGGTTTGTGTCAATCACTTTGTTTTAATATTAAGAATTAGCGATGGGCGTTCTATTTGGCTCATTTGGCTTCACAACCATCACTCGTTTTCTAACCCAGTAAAACTACCTATCTATTTTTCACAACGCCGTTAAGATTATCGCTGCGTTTTTTGACAACGCTTGTATTGTAGTGATTGTAAAGTGTTGCCGTCTCGCAACGCTCTATATAATCACGCAATAGGTGTTGCCGTTGTGGTTAACATATAGGACAGGACGCACGTCCCGTTTGCACAAATACGAGTGGATGATTGAATTTACTAAGAAATTAATGATGTTTCGTTGTTGCAATTATGAAATACATGACTTTTGTGTGATGAATGAAAGTCGTTATTAGAATGTCACGTTTTACAACGCTTCGTCACTTGCGCCGTAGTCAAAGTAGATAGTTAGGAAATGAAACTATTTTTCCGGATTTAAATCGCGTATATTTGTTTTTTCAAACAAACCGACGTTTCGGGCCCTTTACAGGTCCCATGGTCACGGTTGACTGAGGTGGTACAGTCTTCAACCAGTTATGCCTAATATTGATGCAAACCACCCTATTTTTTCACTATACTTACAATAGTTATTAATTAAATACCTTATTTTTAATTTTACAAAGAAAACATTCCAGTTTACGCTACATTAAGTTTTACAAATTATTTTATTGAATGAATTTTTATTAAGTTCAATTTATTATTAATTAATAATAGAAATTAGAATAAACTAAAACATATTAATTAGTACTGCAGTCTTATGTCTGTTTGGGATTTTTCATTAGAGGAAATACTGGATCCTAAACTGGTGGTACTGAGAAACCATCTTCCCTGTTGAAATTAGGATGTTTTTTTTTATTTCAATGGCCTCGCACCATCCTGGGTAGATAACGGACTCCTTTTGCAAGGACTTGGGGTTTGTCAAACTTCATTGAAGGTGTAGGTTTATCCATGACATGCTCGCAGACTGCAGACTGCAGACTTGTGTTGAAGTAGATAGTTGTCAAAAATAAATAGTTTTCTCAACGTTATCTAAAAACGCAAAACAATTTCGTTAGGTTATTTGAAAAAGGCATAACTACTTATGACTATTAAGAATACTGTACAAAGAGGCTTAATTAAAATTAACCCTATATACCAACAGGTCGTTTTCGCAATGAGAAGGTAGAAGGACCCGAGGAATATCTCAATAAACAATCACACATCACGGTCCATTTGCGATCTTTGTTCGCAAACATGAAAATTAAAAGAGTCAGAGAGACGACACTTGCTGCAAACCAGTGGCTGGAAGATGCTAGACAGATGGATTGGAGTACTAGGTAATATTATGCTCCCTACTTTGTTAATAAAGCTGTCTTTTTGGGAGTGACCTTAGATAGAAAACTCCAATGGTTTCCACGTATATCTTCCTTGGCCAGCAGATTAAACTCTGCTCCGTACGCAGTCCGTAGAATACGTGAGCTTACCGATGTTGCTACTGCTAGACTAGTTTACTTTAGTTACTTCCATAGTATAATGTCCTACGGGATTCTCGTCTCGGAGCGATTCGTTCTGGGTACCGTTTAGGCTCTCGGATTTATCTCAGAGAAAAGTTTAAGGAGACTCAAATATTTTGTATGCCCGTAAAAATATACGTATTAAAAGTATTTTAATTGAAAACTCATATTACAAAATTGTAGAGTACGTGTTAGATAAAGATGATGTTGAAAGACAACGTGAGTCTAGATTCCACACAAATATGATTCAAAATGTATTCTATAGCATTTAAGTCTATTTGAAAAGAGCAATCCCTAGGGTTTCTTGCTCGTTCTTCTCAGAGAGGTCAGCGTAGTGAACGAGCAGTAGCTTAAAGAATGACGTTTTCAACTGTACATTGCGGTTTAAGAGTTAAAGGAAGTCAACGCAATTACAAACAAAGGGGACCTAAGATTTCAACGTTCCACCGCGCCGGCAGAGTATTTAATATTATTAAGTTGGTTGGTGCACCACAAAAATACAATACGATACAAATCCTCAACAGACAAACTAATCAATGACTGGAGAATGTCAGGCAAAAGGCTTATATAGGTTAAAAATTTATAAAAGATTAAAAATTTGGATGTGTTCCCCTGCCAAACAGCTAAATAAATAAAAAAACTAAACCTAGGAAATGAAACTATTTTTCCGGATTTAAATCGCGTATTTTAAAACTAAACCTTATCATAGACCATGATCAATGACAAACAAAATCAATGACAATGTAATTATAAGACATATTGGTCCATAATGCAAACCACGACACGGTATATGTAACATGTTCGCCGTGTGTGCATACATTGAATTAGATTTTCGGGCGTAGACCTTGAAATTCTTGGAGGAGCATGAGTAGGACCCTGCACCCTAAATACCAACATAAAAAATATTAGGTAATAAATAGTCCGTGTTTATCTTTAATTTTTGTTTTTAGATACGTTTATAATGGTGGCGATGATGATATTTTGCCGGAAGATAATCTTGACTACAAAGATGATAAGACCAAGGAACCGACCAGCGAAAGACATGACGAAGAAAATAAGGAGATGGGTAATGTACATCTACAACAAAATATTCGTAATAATAATGACATCTGCAGGTTTAGCATTCGGGAAAATACATAAAGCTCGTAAAAGTAGACTTCTCTACGAACCACGATACTACAGTCATGCTCGCATCTGTAGAAATTACAAACGTGACTTCACTTTTCAGAGGAAATTGTCAGTTTGAGGAAGACACATCTCTTGTCTTTGTGCCCATGCTTAACCTGTTGGTAACCAATAAGAAATACCCTAAACTAGGAGCACCAGAGAACCGGACATCAACTCAGAAGACACTACCCAGAACAATAAAAATAGAAATATTGAAAAAAGCTTCTTTTCCAAATTGATCTTACTGACTATAGAAACTGCGATCTTTCATTCTGCGGCTAGAGTACTGACTGCTGGACCATCTCTCAGGTCTTTAATTTATTGACAGTAAGGTTTAAAATCAATATGTCAATCTTCACGAATCTGTTTCAAGGAACGCTTGGACTGTTGTATTAAAATTTGATATCTATGATCAAGAACACAACAGACTTGACATTTGAGCTGCCATAGCCATATGGCAGCTTAAAATAATAGATCCAAAGTGCCCAGCTAGACGTGTTCTTCACTGCATCGATGCTTGAAAGCTTCAATAGGTACTAAAGCATTTTTCTTTACAGGTTACTCAGACGAGGAACAAGACTATCCACGTCGAAAAGCACCAAGAAAGAGAATCCGCTTAATCGGAAGAGATCGGAAACAAAAACCAAGCGTAGACGACAACTATAGACGCAAACGTTCGATAAACATCACCGAAAACATAATTGAAAATATCATTAATGGCACTTTTAATGACAAGGACGAAATCATTGATCATAATACAACCGTGGAAACCACTACGCTGTTTGACGAAGAAAAAACGACTTTAATTCATGGTGTGATGAACTCTTTTCATAATAATTATTCGGCCTGGCAAGACCATAGACTGTTTCAACAACGGAATATTAATGGTACTTGGTCTAAAGCTCCGCGTGGTAATAGAGATATGAGTGGAAAGATTGGAGCTAAGAAACCGAATAAGATGAGGTATGTATGCTACAATACGTGAGCAAGGTGCAGACGAGAAATCTGCACGTTGTTGCAGTGCAACGACCGAAGAAGCAGTAGAGCTCCTTGTGAAAGAGTTCGTCCAGGGAAGTACTGCCACCTTACCTATTTCCGTGTCCTGTTTTGAAGCGTAAGAGTGCTGGTGAAATTACAGGCTATATTTTTACTTGAATGGATAGTGTTCATGCCACACGTCATGATGTATCCATTTGATTATTTAGATACTTTAATAGTCTAATCGATGTTATGAAAGTGCACGTCCTGCCAAAAGAGTAGAAAAATGTCAACGAAAACGTAATGTACGACCTGACAAAGGTAACCGGCAGCCGCTGGATGCGGGCAGCACAGGACAGGAAAAGTTGGCGTGCTTAAAGGGAGGCTTATGTCCTGCAGTGGATATGTGTAAGCTGATGATGTCAAAGAAGTAGAGCCTGTTCCTTTATTCTTGACGACTTGGCTTACTAAATCACGCATCACCTACGTTCTTTCTTTGAACTTGCAATATATGGAACAAACTCACACTATAACATTAGTTTCTTCAAAAACCGAGTAATCAAGACTCTCAAAAACCACTGCTGTTTGCTCGTTGACCCCTATTTAAAAAAAACGCATTCGCAAAATAATTCCAGCAGTCAGAGAGTAGTCTTGTTACTGGCAGTGAACAACTCTGTGGTACAAATAATGTAGCAAATATTGACAGCATATCAACTTTCAGATTTATGAAAAATAGACTGAAAACGGAGCCAGCAAAGTTTTTCATCGACTTAGGGAATTCCGACGAAGCTCTGTCTTCAGAGGAAGATTTGTCTTTGAATTTGAAGAAACGTACGCCGAGGAAAAGGAAACCTACTAAGAGGAAGTCTATTGATGCAGGTAATATCATCTGAACAGTTTGATAAATTGACCATCATTCTTGAAATTTATTATATACGTTCCGTACGTTGTATACGTTAAAAATATAGTTATATTTTTCATGTTTTGATTGACACTTTTGATATAGGTTTTTTTTTACTACTGCATTGGTCAGTTGGTCTTCGCTATTATGATTTTTTTAAATATTATTATTTTTTAACTCATGGCCATTATGTGACAAAATCGTCAATACAAATAAAATTTGCTTTGTACCCTCATTTATATATCCACTATTTGTACTAAGTGCCATACAAATAGTGGATACTTAAGGGTACCTACTGCACACTATAAACTCTTAATAGAGTTGTTCGTTTTTCTCTTAAGTCATAGTCCCGTCAAAAGTATAACAGAGCACAAAATTGTAGAGACTGACGATTTGCGTTGGGTGTCATACAAGGCAGAAATATACGTCCAAAATTGTTTACATTTAATGACTGGACTGAAGTGAAAAAGTATAGAAAGGCCTATCACGAAGTAAACCAAAACCTTATTACATATAATGGGAATCTTCAGGGCTTTACATCATCACGTTACATTATCACGCATATGTAGTCTCGACCCTACGTTATGGACTTCTTATCTGGGGAAATGGTACGAATATAAACAGAGTGTTATTGGCGCAAAAAAAATGTATACGTGCAATTACTGGTAGGACTCCGCTTGAATCCTGTAAACCTATATTTAAAGATCTTGGTTTGTTACCCCTGCCTGCCTTATATATTTATGAAGCCAGCATTTTTGTGAAAAATAATTTACATTTGTTTATTAAGAGTATTGACGTGAACCATCGAAATTATAGAAATCCCATTAGACTAATTTTTTTTGACGTACCTAAGGTAGAAAAATATAATCAAAATTGTTTGTGTATGTGTGTCAGAATTTACAATAGATTACCAAATGACATTAAACACTTGCCCATTACATTATTTAAGACTAAATTATATGAATTGTTAAAGAATAAAGTATATTACAGTATTAGGGAATTTCTACAATAATTTTTATATAAAAGAATTTAAATTAATTATATATAACTTAATGTAAATGTAATCATGTGACGACCTATTTTTCATTTATTTTGCATGCCTAAATTATCTTCGGGCGAAACATGCTTGAACTTATATGTATATTACTGTGTTATCATGACCACCATGTTTTATGCAAATAAACGATTTGATTGATTGATTGATTGATTGATTATGGTTTCCACTACGGAGAGCTATATATTCTAAACGTCAGATTAAGAAAGATGATGGACTAATATTGAAGAGGTATCTTTTTCTCTTTCATAGGAACAGAAACGATAACTGAAGAGGAAGACGTTACAAAATCAATATACGAAATGTATTACAAAAACAAACCCAACATACATTTGAAATATGTAACTTCTGAAGAAGATAGAGAGGATCATAACTATAGATCACAAAGGTATTGTATTTGCCATTCGTAGCTGGCAATAAGAACCTTACCTGTCTTTATGCGGTGCGGTACGAGCGGCGGTTTAATTTCAATAAGATTTTTCTGACAATATTCAATATCAAGTGACAAAACTAACAAGCCCTGCGCCTGATTCTAAGTTACCCTCTTATCCATGTCCATAACATTTACAGCGCCAATCAGGTCTTTAAATCGCAAAGATCTGACCAATAAGTTGACAAGTCCTATGGGCCTGTAACTTCACCAGCACCCTTCAAAATCGGAACACAGTAATGCTGACATTACTGCTTGGCGGCAGAAATAGATAAGGTGGCAGTACTTGCCCAGTCTTTTACAAGGAGCTCTATTGCTACATAATCGTAGACTACATATCAATTATAACTGATAATTATCAATAAAATACTTTTTTTATTATAATTTTGTAATATAATCAGTTTGAAACGACACTTAACAATAATTGACTAATTTGGTAGGCACTTTTTTCAATCTAATTGACATATATGACATGTCTGTTCGGTAAGGGCGAGTTCCCATTATATCGTATTTTCATTGTTAGACGACTGTCGCCTCTAAACTGTTCCCATATCTCGACTGTCTATTGTGACTGTATCGAGGATTTTCTATCGCTGAACGACTGTCATGTCCAGCTGTTCCCAATTGGATGGCGACGACAATTTATCGGTTCACAACAGCTGCATAATCGTTCACACGACAGAATGGTTTGATGGACAGCGGTTCTACATCCTGTTGGATGAGACAACGACAGATAAAACAAGACGATAGTAGCTGCGATTATCTGTCGTCACATTTTTATTGCAACGTTTTATTTATCGTCAGGCGATTGTCGTCCTAGCTCTTCCCATCGTCTTAACAGTCTGTTGTAGTAACTTCAAAAAAAATCGAGTTGTGTATATATTAACAACTCCATTTAAATGTACAAGCCACGACACTTTATACTACACTGGTCTGTAGAAATACATCATAGAGGCAAATGAGGAAGACGGATTGATCATCATGACCTTGACCCACGAATCTGTAGTATCGACTGGTCTATAACAGTTCTCTTTTATTAAACCACGGAGGAAGATGGGCGTTGTAAAGACACCATATAATAACACTATAATAGAAATAACTAAACATAATGAGTTTGTAGGCAAAGTCCTCTAATTAAAACTAATAATCATTTTACAAAGAATTATGTTTTTATTTACACCGGTCTGCCCAAATTCACACTAGCAACGTTAAACTCTCCAGACGAGCGAAGAATCATCGCAGAAGAATCGAAGAGGAAACAGACCGGAGTCAGGAAATAAGAAAAAAGAACAGAAGGGATCAACCTATAGAATTTGAACAACGGAAACAGGATTTCGATGAACCAAGTGATAGAAGACGAATGAGACTTAAGAAAAAAGGTAGGTTAACCATACTTCAAAATTGTTTACGGACTGATCGATTTTTTATACGCTTTTCTGCATACGACAGCTGTTGGTTCCGTGTAGGCTCGTAGGCTCGTAGGCTCGGCCTCTAAACCCACGGAAGAAACAGAAGGCACTTCCATTGGCCTTAAGCCTCGATTACTACCAGAACCGATGTCGCCAAAACTCACACATTTTAATTTGAAACACTACAAAATCTTGATATTGATAGGCGTAGTTTCAAATTTAAAAAGAAATAACAAATTCTGGATTGTTAATACATATAATTTAAACTTTACCCTGTTGGCCTATCGTTGAATGTTCAATACCATCAATACCTATTATTGCAAGTTACGACGTTTTGATATTATATTGAAATAATGTGCTGTCATCTAGCGGTTCATTGCTGAACGGCGACGAATTGGAGTTAATAATTTAGTTCTCCAAAAGAGAAGCGACCATATTGCAGGGGTATAAGTTTCACTTTTGTTTCTTGTTACAAAAAAAATATTTAGACAAACAGAAATATGAAGATTTATTAAAATAAGACTCAGATGATATGAAATACATACGAGTAATATTTTTGGTGCAGCTATCATTTTTGCACTCCAAAACAACACAATAAGGCGTTTTTCTAGGATTTTAGAGAATTTGCACGAAAGAAGGACACAACCATGCCATACAAAGCGAAAATGGCGGACAGAGCTCACAGAGGTCTTTCGAGACCTATAGTTGGCACGCGTCTGACGCTAACTAACCACTTCCACTGTATTGATTGATCTATGTCTTAACCAATCTAGGCGGTGACCGGCCAAAGGTTGAATCACGATGTGTCCTAAATAATTAAAAGAATCTGTAAACCGCAGGTAGAAGAAATGAGAAAGTATGGTCTAGCATGCCGTTTTTGATCTCCGATCACAGAGAGAAAGTGAAACGGAGGATTTTTGACGATGGGAATGAGGGCAGGGAGGTTGTTGAGGAAAGGAGAATGAGAAAAGGTAGGTAAAGGTAAAGATAGGTTAATCGTACTTCAAATTTTTTTACGGACTGATCGAATTTTTATACGGTTTCCTGCATACAACAGCTGTTGGTTCCGAGTAGGCTCGTGGACATATAAAGATAAAGGTAATAAAAAATGAAAACCGTACATAAATAAAGGAAGACTAGCACATCCTTGGGTACATTAATAAAAACATAAATTAGAATTTTAAAAATACAAAATGGCTCCATAAGACCGTACATATTTAGAATAATGGTTTTTCTAGTACAGTGAACAGCACATCAGACCACATATTTTTCTCTACATATTCTCTACTCTCTTTACATATTCGACCAAATCTGGGTGCGTTAACTTAATTCACTTGAATTAGTTCACCTAGGTGATTTAAGTACATTTTTAGTAAACTTAAAACTGTATTCACTACGATATTTAAGGACGCCAGGATTCAACTCGTCACATGGTACAGATACGGTGATGAAACCTTCATGTCGAAGAAGGTTCACAATGAAGTTCCCAACCCACATTGGACTAGCATGGCGAGCTATGGCCTAAACTCCGAGAGGCCGAGACTCTACTCAACAGTGGGCCGTATAAATAGGTTACAGTATGATGAGTGTTCTGAGTAATGTTCCCGACCGTTATACTGTCTACTTTTATGTTTATCAAATGCATACAGGTGGTTTAAGTTTACTAATAGTGTACTTAATGCGCCTAGGTGAACTAATTCAGGTGAATTAAGTTAACTCACCCGAAAATGTCCTCCAGTGCAACGGAACAAGATAGTTCAATGTGTAGCTTGATGTGCTCTTCACGTGCCTATTTCTTGATTATAAGAAGTGAAATATTAATATCGTAAAATACTCACAGAATAAGATTATTAAGTGCTTTATTAATAATAGGGGTTAAAGTATGAAATTGCCGATTTGTACTGAA